AGTCTCGTGGTTAAATCTGAGTTTTCGAAAGGTCCCTCTGACTGGAGAGTAGAGGAGGGGTTGGCCGGGGTCATTTAGGCTGCTGCTCTGGTCTGGGTGAGAAGTGACGACGACATGAAGGGGTGAAGAGAGATTTAGAAGCAGCGGCTCACAGGGTTAAATAACCGGACAGGGGACGGAGGAAGAGGAAGCCTTTCAGGTTTCTGGCACAGACGCATGAGGTACAGGCCGACACAAATAAGGAGAGAGCGGAATCAGCAGTTTTAGAGGAGAAGATAGTGGGATGGGTTAGAAATCGCGGCGGAGCACCCTCAGGGGTCAGGTCATTACTTCTCTGTGTATAGAGGGTGTCCCAGAAAAATGTATACACACTTTAACCGCTGGTAACTCACTTGATTTTCACTGCTTTTCAGGTTTAACTGATTTGAAATAATGGGTGAAGCCAGACTAAGCTTTGAACAAAGAAAGTTTATCCTAAAGTGCCCCTAGGCTTTTTTTAATGGGGATACTTGAAAGATAAAGTTTACAGTACAAAACCGGCAATAGTCGATGAGCTGGAGGCGCATAAATACCGAACGAAATGATTCTTGATGTTGCGATTCCACTGCTTGGCGTTATCGGCAGTGCCTGGACCAGCACGGTCATCAGTTTGAAAACAGGCATTGACAAAGAAATTATTCATTTCTGTAGATTCTTTTAAATTTTGAAAGGAACTGTACGTGAATAAACACTGACTTTCTAATCACTCAAAGTGCGCATACATTTTTTTGGGACGCTGTGTATCTATGTAATTCCCATTTAATTTACATAAAGACTTTGAGTTAGGCCATGCTATTCCAATTTTTCAGATTTCTTGGTTAGATCCATGATACAGGGCAACAAATAGTAGATGGCTGAGCCCACATTGGTGTTCAAATTTCCAGACTACAAACACAGCACTTTTTGGCTATAATCCTGCAGCTTTCTAGTTTTGAATGTGTTAAATTTGAAGTACCTATTGAGTTTCCAAATGAAAAAGTACAGAAAGAACATGGCTGCATAGGTTTGGGCCTCACAAGGTCATTTTGGTTACAGAGAGTTTGGACTATGCTTTTGAGAAACGTATCTCAACTCCTTGATTATGAACCTTGATTTTAAAAAAAAATCTTACTCTAATTCCTGCCAGGCCTGGGGCAAGCTTTATTGGATCTTTACTATTATGAACTTCCTTTTCATCATTCATCTGTTGGCTTTGAACCACATAGCTACTTTTATCCTGACTCCATAAATATAGTCATGGATATACCCATATACCCATTTCAGAGATTTGAACTTTAAGTATATAAGATGATAGCCATTTTGGAGGGTGTTTTTTTTTTTTAAGGTTGGGGAGGAAAAGGGTTCTCTGTATTCTGAATGGGAAGAAAGTAGAGTGTGCTTCTTTCCCTTTCCCTCTACTCCCCTAAAAAAATAAACAGCTGTAGGTGTCTCTGAGTGCCTCGTTTCCCTTTGTCCAGGCCAGTCCAGTTACATTTGGTTTGTAAGGAATTAAGAGTAGTTTATTTCTTTTTGGTAATCCATTAACCCATTCACTTGTCCTGTTTTCTCACCCTAACTCTAATAGGCTACACTTAACCTTCACAAAAGAGAGCAAGTGGGATACCTGCCCGAAGCCAGCCACCAAACTCAATGAAGGATGCCAGCGGGGGAACATCTGGATGTGCCAGTGTCCTCATTCTACAGTGTGTTCCATTCTTTTGCAACCTCAGCAAAAAACGCTATTAAAAGAAAATATTTTGTGAAATAAGAAGCTCCTTTTACATTTTTAATGACCATCCTGTCTTAAGATGAACATCGGTTCTGCAGAATACAAAGCTCTATGGTCTCAAAGAAGCAAATGTGTGTTTAACCCTGATCCTAAATAAAAATGGACTTCAGAATGTTTGTTAGTGGCAGAAGAGTGAAAAAATGGCAGTTTGTCCAGTTATTTGCCACTTGTTTCATACTGAGCCTCATGTTTTTTTGGGAACCATTTGATAATCACATTGTGAGCCATATGAAGTCCTACTCTTACAGATACCTCGTAAATAGCTACGACTTTGTGAATGAGAGCCTGTCTCTCAAGCGCAGCGAGAATGGGGCTCCTCGCTACCAATACTTGATTAACCACAAGGACAAGTGTCACGCACAGGACGTCCTCCTTCTACTGTTTGTAAAAACTGCTCCTGAAAACTACGATCGACGTTCTACAATCAGGAAGACGTGGGGCAATGAGAAGTATGTTCAGTCCCAACTTAACGCCAACATCAAAACTCTGTTTGCCTTAGGAACACCTTCTAATCCACTGAGGGGGGAAGAACTGCAAAGGAAACTGGTTTGGGAAGACCAGGAGTACAATGATATAATCCAGCAAGACTTTGCCGATTCTTTCTACAATCTTACTCTTAAATTACTTATGCAGTTCAGTTGGGCAAATACCTTTTGTCCACATGCCAAATTCCTGATGACTGCTGATGACGACATATTTATTCACATGCCAAATCTTATCGAATACCTCCAGAGTTTAGAACAAATTGGCGTTCAGGACTTTTGGATTGGCCGTGTTCACCGTGGTGCCCCTCCCGTTAGAGACAAACGCAGCAAATACTATGTGTCCTATCAAATGTACCAGTGGCCAGCTTACCCTGACTACACCGCTGGCGCGGCCTATGTGATCTCGAACGATGTAGCTGCCAAAGTCTATGAGGCCTCACAGACGCTTAACTCTAGTCTTTACATAGACGATGTGTTCATGGGCCTCTGTGCCAATAAAATGGGGATAGTACCACAATACCATGTGTTTTTCTCTGGGGAAGGGAAAACTCCTTATCACCCCTGCATCTACAATAAGATGATGACATCTCATGGACACATACAAGACCTGCAGGACCTTTGGGAAGATGCCACAGACCCTAAAGTGAAAACAGTGTCAAAAGGCTTTTTTGGCCAGGTCTACTGCAGGCTCATTAAAATCGTTCTCCTTTGCAAATTTACTTATGTGGACACATATCCCTGTAGGGCTGCCTTTGTCTAATAGTACTTGAACGTCGTATGTTTTCACTGTCACTGAGCCAAACCTGGATGAAAAACCTTTAAATGTTTGTCTATGCCCTAAGCGAAAAATGAATATGAGAAAAAAACGAAATATTTTGAAAGCGCAGTCTCTCAGATGTTTCTTTGATTCTAGAAGCTATTCAGTATAACTTACCTACTTCATTGCCTAAATCCATTTCAAGGAATTTATATTTAGAAAAGGTTTATGAGAACAAAACTAAAGGGAAATTCAAGTTCTCAATGCCACATGTATATCTGCAATATAGAGAAGTTATAAAGAAACCTTGGTGTTAGAATAACTGCTTTTGGAAAGTGCCAACTGAATGTAGAGTATAACATTTCAAAGAAAGGAATGTATTGTTAAGCTAGGTATACAAGTTAATTTTTATTAAAGAGCACTTGATGGAAATGGTGGGGGCGGGAGGGTTGGCATAGGAGAAAGTACATGAATCTGGTAAAAGAAAGTCTCATGTTCTTCAGAGGAGATTTAGGAAAATGTACCGCAGGTCTTTGAATAACCTGGTTTTGTCAAGCATCATTTCGTTATAACATTGACAAGATGTTGTAGGAACTTAACTCTTGTTTATATCAAGCAGCCCATTGTAAAATCATTTCATTATACATTGTCCCACTGCAGTTCCAACAACGTGTCGACAATGTTAAGTGAGGACTTACTGTACACAATTTCTTTATAAACAGCCAAATCACTATTGTCACATCCATGTAGCTATTTGGCCTAGATAGTGTTGGAGCCATTTAAAACATATTTATGTCTTTTTTTTTCAAAGTTTAATGTAAAATTGGAGAAGTCATTAGCTCTGCCCTAACTGGTACTTTATATGTTTGTTTGTTTTTATCATTAGAAAATGACACAAAACATGGGCAGCTTGTTACCCATAGGGTTCTTCTGTAGGGAGAAATCATTGTTAATTCAAATAAGCTGGTATTAATTCAATGAATTTTTCAACTGGTTTTTAAATATTCAAAGCGGTCTGTTTTTAAGGTAGTTATTTGGATGTAGTTTGCATAGAGGCATATAATGGAGAAGACTTCAAAAGGAAAAAAAGGACATTGAAAAACCTCTTTTCTCTATAATTTATAAAATAAAATTCTTAATGTCAAAATCATTGGAATGATTGCTAAAATTAGCCTCCCCCTCCCCAATAAGGTCTCATAAACCACAGTACTTTGTTCCAGTTTCCAAGATTTTAAAATTGAGACTATTAAACATCACATCAAAACTATAGTATCTTCAAAAAATCTTTTTCATCAAAATAACTGTCAGACGCATCTTTGACTTTTAAATATTTCAAACTTGAAATCAGAATGCAAGATAGAAAAGTTGCCAGGATGAAATTGAAAGCATTTGTAAAGCCATGTTTTCCTTATAGTCAAAGAGATGTGGCTAGGATCTAATAGAGTAAGTTTCATTTTTTTACAAAGCAGGGTAGAAATGTGGCCGTGATGCAAACAGCCCCCCTCGCCCCCAGAAAGAACTAAGTGATGTCTATTATTAGGAGGGGGGGTTTACCTGAAGGCCAAAATAGCGACTTCAGCAAAAGCAGTTGTATTGATTATAGAACCTTTGTCTGTAGAGGTGCTTGCTAGGGAAAACTAAGATGTCTCACTTAATTAGATCAAGTTTGAAACATGGGGAACAAAACAGAACTAAGGAAAGAATTCTCAGTAAGCACAACTAGATGATGACATATATAATTTTTTTTGCAGGTAGCTTTTTAATGTTTACAGAAAATTTTTTTTTTTTAATTTTTTTCTATTTTGAAAATTGAGGCTTGTTTACATTGACTGCTCAGATAATTTAGAATTTTTAAATAATGTCAAAACTACAGTGTCAACCATTGTAGTTTATAGTTAGGTTCAGGGTTTTTAGATCATTACAGTTTAAATTTTCTGACCCAATTTTAAAAACTAGAGAATAAAAGCACATCTTGACAAAGCAGATTTGTAATTAATTTTTATTAGTCGAGTCTTTAATAACCGTTTGCCTTTTGGCCATACATACCCTGTGTATCTATACTTGTAACTGTTTAAATTTTTCATTGGTTGAAAACATCAGTGTCTCTCTGGCCATCGAAATGATCTTGTTTACAGCAATACTATTATGAAACGATTATTTATTTGTGAAAGAGCTCTCCTCAACTGTGTTCATCTTTTTATTTTTGCTTAGAATAGAACAGATTTAAATTTACAGGAAATATGAAGGCACTTCCTTTTTTAATAAGAAGGAAGTTGCTAGACTCTTCCTTCATCAGACTTAAAGTACTGAGAAGAATATCTGTAAATACAATAAAAGGATTCCAACCTTCTAAAAAGGAAGATAAAACTTTGGTGCTCCAATGCAGGGCTGTCTTAGAAATCATAAACAAAGGGAAAATAAACACTCAGCCTGGATGGTCACTTGAGTAGAAGATGGCTGTACACAGTGTTATTGCTAAAAACTTTTTACCTCTTGGTTGGTTTGTATCTTTTTTCCATATTATTAATTTTATACCAAATGTTAAATATTTATATTATTTGAATTTAGCTTATATGTCAAAATCATTAGTGGTTTTTTTAAAAAAAATAAATCTGTGATTTACAATAAATAACTTGAAAATTGTCTGCAGATGTGTATTTTCACAAGGGTTTTTAAACTCCTGTGTGAACACCATTTATATCTAATCAGCTTGTTCTGTTTAATGTCAGAGATGTCTGTAGTACAGTCTTAATCCTACTGCTGTTCCGATATGCTGCTGTGCCGAGGACAGATGTGTTCTTCGCATAATGGGGAGCCACCTAAAAAGCCCCTTTTGGGTGTTAAATGGCGTACACTGGACTGTCTAAGTGAGGGAATTCTCCTAATAGGTTGTTTAGGACGGGATAAAGTAACCTGCAGCCATAGTGCCTTAAGACACCATTTGGAAAGGTCATATTTTCCTTTTATTTGATACCATTAGCTGTCTGAAAGCAGATTCAAATTTAGCCCTAGTCTCTTAATGCCATTTGAAAAGGTCATATTTTCCTTTTATTTGATACCATTAGCTGTCTGAAAGCAGATTCAAATTTAGCCCTAGTCTCTTAATGCCATTTGGAAAGGTCATATTTTCCTTTTATTTGATACCATTAGCTGTCTGAAAGCAGATTCAAATTTAGCCCTAGTCTCTTAATGCCATTTGAAAAGGTCATATTTTCCTTTTATTTGATACCATTAGCTGTCTGAAAGCAGATTCAAATTTAGCCCTAGTCTCTTAATGCCATTTGGAAAGGTCATATTTTCCTTTTATTTGATACCATTAGCTGTCTGAAAGCAGATTCAAATTTAGCCCTAGTCTCTTAATGCCATTTGAAAAGGTCATATTTTCCTTTTATTTGATACCATTAGCTGTCTGAAAGCAGATTCAAATTTAGCCCTAGTCTCTTAATGCCAGGAGTGTTCTCAGTTCCCACTGGAGTTCTCAGTTCCCATTGGTAGCAGTAGCACTTTTTACTTGCAAGGCATGGTTGGGGTGTTTGCAGTTGGGACTCAAATGATCACTTGGAAGAATGAACTTGACCTATATGTGGGACATCAACTGAACTTCTTAGCTGCAATCAAAATCAAACCAGAGAACTCTTGATGTTCAGGGCTATTCAATCTGCTGTAACAATCAGAGAAATGCTAGGGGTCTACCTGGCTGTTTCCCTGAAATCACTGCCTGCTGCAGTGAAACAAGCCTCAGTCACAGCTTTCTTTACAATAATCCTTTGCTGCAGACCCCCACGGCTCCTTACTGTCTCCAACGTCAAATCTAATCTCTTCTACCTGCTTTTCAAGGCCTTATGTAATCTCCCTTCTTCATTCCCTGTAGCTTTATTTTTCCCCTTCCCACTATTATCCATCACAAATCTCATTCATGACACATCAGTAAGTTCGTTTCCCTTGCCATGAACACCCTTTCTCCTGTACCTGTTGAAGTCTTGGAAACCCAACCCTAACTGTTCTATTAAGCATCTCCTGCCCTCCGCCCCCAAATATACACTTATTATAAATATACACCTAGCACACATATTATTGTGTTATCTACTAATTGTTTCATGTGATTTTTCAAACTAAAACTGAAGGTAGGGACTGTGTATAGTGCTTAAAAATAATTTTTTCAAATATAATAATGTTATTCTGGCAAGCCACCCAAATATGAAAAGACTAATTATTCAGAATCCTAATGGACACTATCTGACATATTTTACCTATCCTACTTAAAAGTTTATGATTTATTTGATGAAATTGGAATGCTTACCACATGCCAAGCATATTGTATCTATCAACTTCAGTTCCCACAAATTTGTATTAGTTATGTATAAAATCTCAAATGTATAAAATCAAAGGTGAACTGTTGCAGCAAAGATTCATGATTTTAAGGTATTCAAAGCTGGTAGTAAAACAAAAACAGTAGTCTTATAAATTCTATCTTATGCTTAATCCACTAGCTATTTTTACCTTTTCTCAAAGTTCTTTTGCAAGAATCGTAAAGATATTTTTGTTTCATTAAATGCTGTAACTTTTGTATTTCTCATTAGAAGTATGATTGAATGGCCTACTGTGAATTAATACAATAATTCATCAACTAACTTGACCCAATTAATTAAAACTTTTATAATTATAAGTCTATAATTCTAAAAGTAAAATTACAATTATAAAAGTAGGTAGGGTTGTAGTAATAGGAAAGTCCCGAAAGATATACCATCACTTGAGGAAAACAACAGAACACCTTGCCAAGTACTGTTTTTCAGAGACAACCCAACTGAACACACTTTCAGAGATGCTGCATTGGACTATTTACTGTGACTCAAAGATACATTTCCATCAGTAAGAGCCTACCTGTTTCCTTGAGTGCACTTTAAAGAGAAAGAATAGAAAGCAGTCTAATTAAACGAATATTGGCTTTAATCAAGGAGCAAGTTTCCTAACGATGTTTGTTCATTCATTCTACGGGCACTTTTTAGAGCCCTGTTAAGAGCTAAACACGACAGACCCTGGGAATAAAAGCAGCTCATAAGTGACTAAGTCAAATGGTGTGAATATAAACAGTGTGATGGGTGCTAGAACAGTGGTAATGATGGGGATTCTACAGAGATATTTTCTTTAAAGTGAATTTCCACTTCTGCTTTTGGTCTTTACCACTAAACTGCCAAACATTCACACACATTGCAAATGCCTTCCTGTGAGGCAAAAATAGCATTAAATTTGTATAAATTGTGCCTTTTGGGAACCTATTGCTAGTAAGTGCTTTTAAACCAATAATTCAATTAAGATCAACAATAGTTTACTATTTTCTTGATAGCTCATTTTTTTAAACACTGAGTATCCTTGGAAACTTGGTTTATAAGATTTCATTTTCAGTTCTTGTTTTTAGGAGATCCATGTGTTTTGTTTTCAGGTACATAAACGAAGGTTAGTGTATAGAATAAATATGTGATTTTATCTGGGAAAGGTAAGTGATGAGATTTAAAACAGAGCATACTCTACCCTGTTGCCCCAACTGCCAAGGGGTTAAAATGACTTCTACAAAGGGATCTGCAATCTTACCTGCTGGGGGAAAGATTTTCAGGACTGTCAACCTGCTCCCACTCAGGGTTCTCCCCATCATGACTGCTTTCAAGTATTTCTTCTTTCTGAAGTGAGAGAAATTTTGGTAAGATACTCTATTTTATTTGTGAGGGAGCTCTAAATCTGTATCTTTCTTTCCCCCCATTTCTTTGTTTGGTATTGTTTTTGCTTTTAATTCTCCAGGTGAGCATCATACTCAGTTTCTCATTTTCTTTCTTGGGTTTTCCCCAACCATTCCGTGGATCTGTTACTGTTGGTCCTTCATGCTTCCTTTAGTCTAAAGTTTAGGATCATCAAAAACTCATCCTTAAAAGCTCATTCTTTTTACTTCATGATGGGCTATTAACACCTAGCTGACCGGCTGTTTCAATCCAGAACTCACCTGGGTGGCCAGCTACTTTGGTCAGCAAGGTGTTTAAAATTACTTAAATTAACGTAAGTGCGGACACAAGTCATCTCGTGACCGGGCAGCAGCGTTCGGACACGGAAACACGTGTATACTCGTGACCGGTCCTGTTCTCCTCCCTTTTCCCTGATGATTGACAAAAAAGATTCAGAGTTTGAGCTAAAAGATAAAGGGATCAATTGCCAACATATCTTCATTTCTTTTTTCCCTTCTGAGTAAGAAATCAAGGTCTGGAGGAGTGGCGACCTACCTGAGGCCAGAAAGAGCTAGAGGCAGAGGTGACATAAGTCCGATGTCCACTCTCATAGGCTTATGCTCACCTGCCCCTTCCTGCCCACCACCTCCTGAAGCAGCCGGGTCCTAGGATGCGCAAAGCGGCCCCCAGCGCAGGCCCGAAGCCGGCTGGCGGTCCCAAGCCCTGCCACGCGACCTGCCGGCTCCGAGACCTGGGGCAAGCTCACTGAACATCCTGCCACGGCCCCCATGGCACTGTCTACTACAGGAAGGCTGTGGCTCTTCAGAACCACACTAGGCATTTAATTCTCAAAAAGAGGCAAGACTCCTGCTCAGTTTGATTTCAAGAAAATAGTATTTTAACAAGGAAGTGAATTTGTATAACATTGGCGGCAATGAGAGTATCATAAAAGTGTTAACTAATATTGAACAAGTAGATAAGGAGCCATCATTTCAGTTCTGCCTGGCTGCCAGGTTCTGTTTAAATGAGTTATTTTACATTCTCACAAAAGGGAGGCTAGATTTAGAAAGGGCCCTTTTGCAAAAGTACGTATTGTTAAGGAAAATTTAATGGATGAACATAAAGATTCCTTGTAAATTAGACCTGGAAGTTGAAGAATGAGCTTTCCCCAGACTGAGGAACTAATGTGAAGTCTTGCAAAACAGGTGAGAGTGAGATGCTCCCTGGTCTATGGCCAGTGTCAGAAGATAGTCCTCTCTCGGGATTAGCAGCAGTCAAGGTAAGGTTTATTATCCACAATGCCATCCGCAGGGAGAGCAATGAAAAAATGTTCAGTGGATGAAAGAAAGTCGTGGGTCTGTGATCTTTTTCATAGATGTCTTGCCGAATCTGATATCATATCCAGAAAGCCAGCTAACAAATAAAGCAGTGTTTGGGACACTAGTTTTGTTAATGCAGCTCTAAAATACAAGGAGAATCTTACCTTCCAAGTTTATATATATTTTTCTTTTAAAATAGGATCATTTCAATAAGAATCTAGATTTATTTCCTCTATTATATATGTTTAACCAGAGACTAGAATATATTTTTCATTTCAGGTAATATACAGAAGTAAATGCAAATCTTTGGGTTCAAACCAATGTAGTTATTCCACCACACTACTGAAGACAGCTCTTCGTTCCCATTTTCTAGATAAAGCTGCACTAATCACTATGGCAGTTAGTGCTCCATTGCATCTTTTTCTAGTTCCTCCTCTGTGACATTATTGTGCCCAAACACCTGCTGGACTTTGAGCCCAGCTCGATTCACCTGTGGATCCTTAACACGTAGTACAAGGCCTTCACAGAGCGACCACTGCTATTAACAACTCATTGTGAAACTTGCTACTGCTGATAAAACGAGGCGTGCTCTTTCCAGCTCTATAGATCTGTTGCTAGTGTGGTGGATTGTAGTCTCTTATTTTATGACAACCTGGTGATGGAAAAATAACAATGACTCAAGGTATAGATAGGGACTTTGTCATCTTTTACCCCAAATGACGACATCCCTCTAATTTATACACTTTGTCATGCACTGGATGTCCTCGCAGGTCTCCTGAAATGCCTGGGCATGGACTGGTTGTGTCAACCCATGTTCTTGTGGCCACATGTCAGACAGCTGGTGTCAGGGTAAAGGGGGGGTCCTCTGCCAACTGTCTGATGGACTACAACACTGGTACGATTGAGATGTGATGAGAAGGATCCACAGCACATCTGAGGACTACTTTAATAAAAACCTGCAGTGAGGTTGGTAACTACAGGCACGCCTCGGAGACATTGAGGGTTTGGTTCCAGACCATGACAATAAAGCAAGAATCAGAATAAAGAGAGTCATAATCTTTTTGCTGATGGAGGATCTTGTCTTCAATGTCTAAAAAATGGAACATCTGTGAAGCAAAATTAAATGAGGTATGCCTGTATACTAAAGGTTTTCTAAGGTTTAGACAGATTAGCTGTGTTCTAGTGCAGTGGCTTTCAAACTTCGACCACACCCACAAGACAAGTATTTACACCATAACACACACACACACATACACACACACTTCCCGGTACAGAGCTCCTAAAACCGTTGGAATTTCCTAAATGCAAAGAGCAATAAAGATTGATAGTCAGAAGAAACCCTTTCAGCCACACCTGAGTTTATGTTAATGAGGTGACTTCTGGAAAGGACATGAGGATGGGGGCTGGTTACCAGGGAAACCAACCACATAATTAGAGGGTTGGAACTTTCAGATCCCATTACCTCCACCACCACCACCACCACCACTCCCTCACAGGGAATGGACAGAGGCTGGGGACTGAGTTCAGTCACCAATGGCCAATTGTTAACCAATCATGCCTATGCAATGAAGCCTCCATAAAAACTCAAGGAGAGCTTCCCAGTTGGTGAACATGTGGAGATTGGGGGAGAGTGGCTTGCTCAGAGAGCATGGAAGTTCTAGCTCCTTCCCACATAACCTTGCCTTATGCATCTCTTCCATCTGGTAGTTCCTGAATTTTATCTTTTTATAAGAAACTGATAATCTTGTAAAATGTTTCTCGGAGTTGTATGAGCTGCTCTAGCAAATTAATCTAGCCCAAGGAGGGAGTCCTGGGAACCTCTGATCTAGAGCTGATTAGTCAGAAGCACCAGTAAGAACCTGGACTTCTGACTGGTGTCTAAGAGGGTGAGGGAGTCTTATAGGACTGAGCCTTTAACCTGTAGTAGGATCTAATGCTGTCTCCAGGAAGATAGTGTCAGAAATGAATTAATTGCTTGGTAGTGTTGGGGAAACACAACCCTGCCCCCACACACAACAGACATACTGTCAGCCTAAAAATCTAGGAGGCAATAACAAAAAGTGTTTATTTGGGAATCAAAGGAACTTCAATTCAAGAAGTACAGATTCAGGAGGAAGCCCAAATAGTGTCCCCTACCCCCTGCAGGGGAGAGGCTCAGGGTTTTTATGGGGAAAAGGGAGGAAAATGAGGTAAGTTGTATTAAAGAATAGGTTGTTGGTGTTAGATGAAGGTGAGACTGTACTTCATAGATTGGCTTGAATTTGGTCATCAGGCAAAAGGCTACATTTGTACTTTATTGATTGGTAAGCGACTTCATTTACCAATCATTTGGCAACATTCAATTTCATCAGTCCTTACAAACAGGATATTCTCATCTAACTGACTTTTTGGAATGTTCGCAGTTTGGTCCCATTTGGAAGATAAAGAAAACAAGACATGCAGGACAGTCCCTCTGAAATGGCTACTCGGCTCTATTTTAATATGGCTCCACTCATATCATCGTTTGCACACAAAAACCTGATAGGATATACTCTCTATTTTTTATTATAATATCCCATTGCATTTGTTTCATTCATTTATTTTTTTTTAATTTTTTAATTGATTTTAGAGAGAGAAACAGAAACATCGATTTGTTGTTCCACTTATTTATGCATTCATTGGTTAATTCTTGTATGTGCCCTGACCGGGGATCAAACCCATACCTTGGGTATGGGGACAACACTCTAACCAACTGAACTACTCGGCCAGGACCATTCATTTGTTTTTAAATCTTGGTGAACCACCAAACTGACTCCACTCTCACCACCATGATCTGTAATTTGGAAACCTATTAGAGAGTGAAAGAACACAAACTAGGTGTGAGAGGCAGACCTGGGTGGAAATCCCAGGCTTCTTTTTTTATTTAAAAGTGGCCTTGGCAGGACTTCCTTGCACCTTAGTTCTCCATCAAAATAAGGCTGATTTCATCAACATCAGAGGGTGACTGTAGTGATGAGAGATAATGTATTAAAATGTTTAGCACAAAGAGAAGACTCAATAAAGGACATTTATAGTTGGCTCTTTAATATCTGCTTTGTGGGGATTAAAATGGGCATAACGTATATAAAGCAGCCAGCACAGTGGCCTTCAGTAATTGCTGGGCAATTCCTACCTGCTCACATATAATATAGACCCCATATTTCTCACTAGCTGCGAGATGTTGCCCAAATCACTAATCTCCCTGGGCATCCATTTTCTTCTGCACTAAATGAGAGAGATGTGTGATTTGGCTATGAACTGACCCTCTGCTTATAAAACACCAATATAGGTGCTATTGCTTCCAATTTTGAGATGAAAGCTAAATTGTAGCCAAAGTGCTTTTGGGGGAAATGTAAATTAAGCTTCCTAAACTCTCTGGGAGGAAAAGGGCATATTCAAATAAATGCTTGCTTTTTTCAAGTATTATTCCTTTTATCCATATAATGAACCAAGAACACTGACCACAGACCAACCCACCACTTGCTGCTACATTTCTTTGTCAGGGATTACTTATGAGCCTCATTGAATGAAAAAACGATGCTCTTTAAAGCATAGCAACAAGATCCTTGTGAAATCATATCCTGTTTCCCTTCAGTCACCCTGGTTTGGAGTTGTCCTTAGGGCATC